ATTCAAAATGGATGAAAATAATCCATTACTCCGCAAACACAGTAGAGAACCTGACTAAAGGCTAGCCAGGAGTGGGTTCTAAGTCATGACTGGAAAGATCCTCAATGTCCTTGAGTTTCTGATGCATATAAAAAATCTGAAAAGTGTTACAAATGGTGACAGTGAAAGAATCCACATTTCAGTGTTAATGGGCAGCACAGTATGAATCAAAAAGATGGTATCACACACAGTATCCTGGCTCTTCAAGATCTTTACTGTCTACAGATGAAAACAGGCCTCAGTTTCCTATGGAGAAGAGGACATAAAGGAAGGAAGCTGGTCAACCTGCTCCTGGTGCCCAAGCAAAGAGAATGTTCTAGTTCCTCAGAAGATCTAGAAGGAAGAACGGAGGGAGGAAGAGAGGGAGGAGGAAAAGAGGGAGGAGGGAGGGAAGAAGTCCTGATTCCTTTTTTGATAAATACTCAAAAACTTATCATTTGTTCAAAAGTTTAAATATAATGGCACAAGAAGGAGAAACCTATATATTCTTACTAATTCTTATCTCATTTTATATTCTAAGTTCCTCTAAGCTATACTGAAATCCTCTGCAAATTTCTTACATACTTTGAGATGTTTATGTCATATGTTTGTAAAGCTCATAATAAGCACTGTGTTTGAAATTAAACTCCCATGCATAGAGAGTACATGCCAAGGCTAGATATAGCATAGCACCCACTTCTGGGAAGAATGGATGGTCAGCATAAGACTCTGGATCCTACCCAAAGAGATTTTTCAGGACAATGGGATGGGGAGTATATTTACCTATTCATCAGTGTAAAAAGGACTAACCTTTGAAAGTGGGTAGCCCCTGACTGAGGCTGACTTAAGAACCAGTATAGATGGATGCAAGATGACTGTTTCATGTGATTAAGTACCACTCTACTCTACTATAAATTTGCTTTTGATAACACTATCAGTGGGGAGGGGGAATGAATGAAGTTCAAAAATAGGATCTCTGTACAGGTTATCATACAGAACTTCACATGTTCAAACAGTAATCACTCTATGGAACTGGACTGGCTATGTATTTGTTGGCCCAAAATCTACTAGTTTTTCAATGGAAAAAGTGACTGTACTTTGCAAAAGAAATCTTGAAATATTTCCTATTTTGTTTTGCTTTCATGCACAAACACTAGTGTGATCTACTAAAGAAAAAGCAAAGAATAAGCATAAAAAGAGAAGATCCATTGTGTTTTACCAACATAAAGAACATTGGATCATTTAAAATATCACTCCAGGACAGCCTGACAAAGTAGTCCACACTCCCAAATCATGTTATTTATGCAATCTATGGGCTGAAGAATACATCCTTATAAAGTGAAACCAACACTTTAAAAGATGCCCTACGGTAACAATTAAGAGGTTGCTGAAGCCGGGTGGTGGTGGCGCATGCCTTTAATCCCAGCACTTGGGAGGCAGAGGCAGGCGGATCTCTGTGAGTTCGAGACCAGCCTGGTCTACCAAAAGCTAGTTCCAGGACAGGCTCCAAAACCACAGAGAAACCCTGTCTCGAAAAACCAAAAAAAAAGAAAGAAAAAAAAAAGAGATGAATTCACGGTTATCAAACTTCGCTCCAGTAGAAATTTCACATTACTCTTGTGCAATAGAGGTATATTCTAGCACAACATTTATATAACTACTCTGAAGTTTTTCAGTGACAGCATTAAAGAACAATATGATACTTCCCCCAATTTTTCTAATATTTTCTAATACCTTTATATTCTCTTTCAGTACTCGCTCAACACAAAGAAGAAAACTAGTAATTTCAAGTTTACTAAAATCATAATTTGGGACTTCCAGGCACTCATCTATCAAGACAAAGCATTTACAGAGTATCCACTGTACTTGACACTAGTCATACAGATTAAAAACATGTGGCCATCTTCCAAAAAGCACCTACCAAGACAAGACACAGAAGCAACAAGTACTTACTACACCAAACACCGTACTGTCCAAAATGTAAAAAATCCTACCCCATCCCAATTTAGGCTCAAGTTTTTTTTAATGTAATAGTGAAGATAATGTAGATTACTATTTATGCACTGGATCTCTCTTTCTGCCGAATATCAAAGTCATACAGACCTTAACCCCAAACCTCTTGCTAAACTAATCCTCTGGGAGCCACAGACTACCTGATCCAAGACTATGAATGACGGAAAGGTGAGCTGGCTCATGGGTTAAGAACATTTATTGCTCTTACAGAGGACCCAACTTCAGTTCCCAGCATCCACACAACTCCAGCTCCAGGGGATCTGACACCTCTGGCTTCTACAGATACATGGACAAACACACATATTTAAAAAAAAAAATAGTAATAATAAAATAAAATGCTTTTATGAACAATATGACTAATAGAATCCTACGTAGAAAGTAGAGATGTAAGGATAAGGAGTTCAAGGCCAGCCTCAGCAACACAATAAATTCCAGACCACAGCTGTGAGATCCTTTCTCAAGAAAAGATGATCTGAGTAACCTTAAACTGAAAGATTAGTACTAGCTGGGCGGTGGTGGTGCACGCCTTTAATCCCAGCACTTGGGAGGCAAAGGCAGGTGGATCTCTGTAGGTTCAAGGCCAGCCTGAGCTATAAGAGCTAGTTCCAGGACAGGCTCCAAAGCTACTGAGAAATCCAGTCTTGAAAAAGAACAAAACAAACAAAAAAATAAAATTAAAACAAAATTATTAAATTCAAATTTTTAAACTAAAGTAGAAATGTTTTCAACAAGTAAATTCAGTATAGTTTGCTAAATTCAAATAAATTTGCATCATTTGTAGCTAATGAATCAAAATTAGAAATTCTCATATGAACAGTAAGGATTTTTTTTTTAATTTATAGTGATTACTTGGTAATTTTTTTCTTTCCTTTTTTTTTTTTTTTTTTTTTGGTTTTTTGAGAGAGGGTTTCTCTAGGTATTTTTGGAGCCTGTCCTGGCACTAGCTCTGTAGACCAGGCTGGCCTTGAACTAACAGATCTCCACCAGGGAGTGCAGAGATTAAAGGTGTGAGCCACCACTGCCAGGCTTACTTGGCAATTCTTAAGACAACATAATCTAGAAGAAAGGGACCAGAGCTCAGGAGCGCACTTTTCTTTGCTTAACAGGCTGGGGCAGAGTGGGTAACAGTAAGGCCAAAACAAGATCAAGTTTGGGACAACATGTCCCATGATTAAGTTTCATCTAGCTAAACGGTTAACAAAGGCAACAGCTCTATTCAGTTCCTTCTAAACTTCATGAAAACAAAACGTAAAATAGTGAAGCTGGATTACACTGCTAAGGTCCATCACAAACTGAAAAGCCTGTTATTCTGTAAGTCTAAGGTAAACATGTCACCACGGCTGGAGAACAAGCGTTTAGAAGGCATGGATGCTAGAAGGTGTAGCCTGAGCTTCAGGTATTACCTACTAATGGTTTTCAAGTTTGTCGAGGTATCCTGATTCAAAATGTGTTCCTCCAACCCTAATATTAAACTGTTTCATTAAAGACAGAACAAGGGCCCTAAAGACAATAGTGTCTAATTCTCCTCAGCTTCAGCTGTGGATATTCCACATCCAGACCTGGGATGCACTAATTAAAATTCAATATCGCACTTGGGCATGTGGGTTCCACCATGAAATTCCTGTCATGGTTAAACAGGTTAATAGAACCCAATAATATAGTTCTAGTAAATTATACTGCCCCCCCCCCAGCAGCTCCTTTATCTGACCACTACACAGTAACCTTTAAAATCTATTTAAGGGGTAATAGCAACTATGTCAGGCAAGCTGGGGCACAGGAAGGCTGAGGATAGCAATCCACCGCGTGTGGGAAGAGCACCTTCAACTCACGTTTTCCATTTTCAAATTGTGATACACATGGAAGAAGTTTAAAAAAAAACACGTAAACCCTTCTCTTTGAACTTCGCATCACAGGGCCTCAAGGGACGAACTTAAGAATGCTTCTCTCAAGGCTCATCTAATACTGCATAGTTCTGAGAAGACTAAAAAAGTTGCACTTGCCCCGCGGAGTGGGAGTGGGGGTGCGGGCGCTGCCTACCGAGAGACCAAGGGTTAAACTAATGCATTATTGCAACTTTGCTGGTGTTCAGTTAGTTGTAAAGACTTATTCACTCTGGGAACGCTGTCTCGCCCGAGGATGCGGGGACTGGCGGGACGCGACGGCAACGTCAAGCCCGTGCCGAATCCCCGAGCGGGGGAAACAGCGAGGTGTGGGGTCTCCGCGGCCCGGGGTGGGAACGCGGATCCCGATCAGGAGAGCGCAGACCGGGACCGAGCCGCACGAGAGCCGGGACGGGGCGGCCTGGGGTCGGCAGGGCCTGTGCCGATCCCCAGCCTCCGCACTCCGGGAATAGTCGCTCGGGGCCACACCGCGGCCCCGCAGACGCAGGACGGCGAGCGTGCGCCCGGGAAGCGCGGGCCCCGGCTCCGCCCTCCTCACCTCCCCCCCCCTTCTCGCGGCCGCCGCCCCACTGGGAACTCGGAGCCGCGCGGCCCCGCGAGGCGGGCGCCGGGAGGGAGGGGCCGCGCTCCCCGCCTCCCGCGGCCAGCGCTGCTCCCAGCCAAGGCGACTCACCTCCTCCTCCTCCTCCTCCTCCTCCTCCTCCTCCGCTCCCTCCAGGCCACCGGCAGCCCAGCTGGCGACGCGCTGACGCCGAGCCCCTCCCCCGCGGCCGCCACCGAGGCCGCCCGCCCCTCCCCGCTGCAGCCGCAGCGGCCTTGGGGCGCAGCAGGCGGCGGCCCCGCCCTCGCCCCGCCCACAGGCCCGAGGCTCCGCCCCCCGGGTTGCCAGCTCCACGCGGAGTCCCTGAGTCAGAGGCCGCGCGGGGCGAGCGAGCCAAGTCGCCGCCGCTGCCCCGCGCCTCCTCACACCTGCTCCCCGCCCGCCCGCCCGCCCGCCGGCCCCTCGCACGCTTTCCAGTCACGCCAGCGCCCCCGCCGCCCCTTCGGCTTTTCCATACTCTCTCACACCTCTCGGCGCCGCCTCCGCTCGCGCTGCGGCCTTCTTTTCCTACTGAGGGCGCGGGCTCCCCCGGCCGCGTTCTCAGGCAGGTGTCGAGCCCTTACCTGTAGTCCCTGTACTTCCGGGTGGGCCGCAGGCTCGGGGGAGCCGGTATGTCCAGTGCACACCCTCCTGCTTGTATTGGTCAGCGCGGCCCGCTTTGCCCTCCCTCGGGAATCCTGGAAGATCTCTGCTAGCCAATGCTGGCTTTTCCTATACTTAAGGTGTGTGCAGCCCTCAAGTTGTCGATACTACACCTCCTACCTCAGATGGGGCTTGGCTATTGATAATGACATATTCGCAGCCCTACTAAAAGTCAGAATGAGCACAAGAAACTCTTAAGGGCCTCTATAGAATGGGGGATTTTTCTCCTTGGCGTTTCTACGAATCTGGGTTAACAATTTCGTATTTGGGATCACGCTGTGGATGCAATGATTCGGGCAAAGGCAAAACATGCAATGGTAGGTATATGCTTTTTTAAAACTACAACTTGGCCCAGACTGTAATGCAGAAATGCATTGAAGCATACCAAAATAACAGAAACCGATTAGGCCTTTGGAGATGCATCCACGAGTGCTTTAAGTTATGGGAGTAAACATTACTATCCTTAAATTGAACAGTGAAAACTATCCTGTTCTAAACAAAGCCCACACTCTATGTGGACCTCCCAAGCTTAAAACCATTGTTGACTTGAACACCAGTATCACAGGCATTTAAAAAGCCTAATAAACCATCTGTCCATCCACTTTTACACAAATTGAGAAACAGAAAACTGAATGCAGAAAGCTGAAAATGAGAATTCCAAACTGCAAATGAATCTTGTAAATCCTATTCCACAAAATAAAATATTGAGGGGGTAAAAAAAACCACAAAGCCTAGGGGCTACCAGTTCATCAATCTGAAAGATGAGTCCTCTAATTTTATAAATGAATCATCTAGTCCTTAAGATCACCTGGAGTCTAATATTTTTCATTTATCTGATACAGATCTGAAGTCCTGAGAAGGTAAGTTGCCTAACCAATACACCCAGCTTGATCGGAACAAAGTCAGGATTCCTACTAGGACCTGTCTCACACACTTGCCAGCACAGGATTTAGAATTGCAACTCCAAAGCTGTTCAACGTCAGAATTCTTTGACACCCCAGCTCTGCCTCAATATACATGATCTGTGTATTTGAGCTTAGCTATTGATGTCAGAAGTCATTTCACCCCGATGTGTTCAAGGATTTCTCTTGTGTAACCTGCATCTCTCAGTCGGGAATCATCTGCATGATCTCAGTCACTTCTGGCCCTGGCTCTGGAACTCTGATCCAACCAAACCCATTCATCCTCAGAGGTGCCAAAGGCTGTGCCTGGTTAAAAAGAGTTATGAAATCTCTGTTGTCAAGAAAATTACATTATGGGTGAGGTAAAATATGAGGCATGAAATGATAATTCAACACTAATAATCAAGTTCTCAACAGTAATTTCCAAATGTTAAGTGGGAAAATGGCGCACATAAATTAAGAAAAGACTTCTTAAAGGCCACAACAACAAAGAGGAGATGCATCACTTAGAGCACTGTCTATAGGAAAGAAGTAAAGCAAAATGCTTGGACAAAAGCTCTAAGAAGAAAACAGATATGCCAAGAATAAGGGAAAGTTAGATCAGGGAAGTAAAAGAGGAAGTCTGAGAAGCAATAACAAGCTAGGTCCAAATGCAGGATAGACCCATTGGTAGAGGACCTAGATTTCAACCTGAGACAGAGTTGAGTAGGAAATCATTGCAGATGGACTGACTGGGCAGAGGAAAAGGAAACTGGGAAAAGAGGTGGCAAAGATCAGAAGGCCATAGCTTTGTTAGGCATATTGGACACCAATGTAACTTAGAAAGTCTTGGTTTTAGTGAGTACATATAGGAAACAATGAAGAGCAAGAAGTCCAAGGTGATTTTATGATTGGGGCAAGAGTCAGTTAATGCCACATTTACCCCAGGTCCTTAATACTCATAGGAGCAGCCTGCAAACTGCTGGATAAGGAAGCAAGATATATTGCCAAGGGAGAGCCGCCACATCATATTCTCATTCCACAAAACTGTAGTTTGATACTCAAATACTCAAATAAACAATAAAGAGACCTTAACCCAGGCCCCGCCCATGGACCCTAGTCTGACATTTTTATGCTCAACTTATTTTTATTTCTATTTAAGCCATATTGATGTAAATGTTCTTTATGGTTAAGTATATGTTACAGTATGGAATAAATAAATAATAAGTGGTTGTTAAATACACAGAAAATATTACTAGATGAGAAGAATATAGAAACGCCTCTACCTTTCAGTAGCTTATAATCTACTTGGAGAAAAAGAGGTCAATACACCTAGTGTGGGATATAATCCATGGACAGGGAGAGCAGCATTGCACACAGCAAAATGAAGTAATATATAAATGGTTAGGGATACAGCTGAATAGCCTGGAAATGATATGGTCGTTAGTCATCGTTCAACAAATTTTAGTGAACTTTGCACAGTGTTTTAGATACTAAAGACAAAGCAATAAAACAAACAGTTCCTGTTCTCACGGAGACCCAAAGGAGTCATGTTTCATGTGTTGAAAACTATATGAAAAGCCAAGGACATCTAGAATGTAAGAAACTGGGGAAAGAGTGAAGGAATGAAACAAGGGAGATAAGAAAGCCTTGTGGATAGGCGGGATTTTGAGGTCAAGTGAAAAGTAAGGACATTGGGAGATTAGTCCCTCTGGCATTCTGAATTGGAAGGAGAGATGGGAACCTGGAGAAACAGTTGCAAGCCTGCATGATAATACAGGCAGGAGATAAGTAGACAAGGTTGCTGGCAAGGTTAGCAAAGAAGATGGAAAGGCCAAGACTAAATAGTGGGTAGGTGGTGTTACTCGTAGCAAATCTATAGCATCACACGCAGCAGAAAGGTCGAAGAGATAAGCATTACGAAAAGGCCAATCTGGTTAGCAACAAAGATGTCATGTGTGACGTCAAAAGGAACTGTCTCTTAAGAGTCAGAAGTGAAATGGAGGCAATGAATGCTGACTGAAATAACTATGTGCAAAACATGCATGTATTTTATTTACCTTTAAAGCTATTGTATTCATAGACGCTATTAATTTTGTTTTTGTTTTTGTTTTCATCGAGACAGGGTTTCTCTGTAGCTTTTGGGGCCTGTCCTGGAACTAGCTCTTGTAGACCAGGCTGGCCTCCAACTCACAGGGATCCACCTGCCCCTGCCTCCTCCCAAGTGCTGGGATTAAAGGCATGCGTCACCATCGCCTGGCCCGACACTATTAAATTTTTACTTCCATATTAAGTTTTCCTTAATACGTTTTCCTTCCTGTGTCTAATTTTTATCTCCATGTTAAAGGGAAATGAATATCTTCAAAATGCATCTGATTTACTTTTATGGACCAAAACTCAGCCACATAAACGACACCCAGAAAGTTCACTCTCCTCTTGCAATATGGCAATGACCTAACAGCTTCGTTACCTGTTATGCCTCAGCCAGGCAGCCAGTAAGTATGATGGCCTTGGACACACACACACTGTCACTGAACCCCAGGTTTTCACTAGGGGACAAGAGAAATCTCAAATCGGAGGTGAAGAGGCGGAAAGCAAGCCTTTCTACAAAGGAGAAACAAAGGCGTCCTGTGGAGTGTGCAGGAACTGCTACCATGACCTCGAGTGGTACTTTTGCCATCTGGAAGAAGACAGCTCAGTCGAACCAGATGCTCTTTTTGTTTATCACACTGCAAGACAATTAAGGAGTAGTTCTTCTTCCCTGGAAATAGATTAGAAAATCTGGCAGACAAAGTAGAGGGCGAAACCTGAAGCCATCCATTTGAAGTGATGTAGCTTTGAGCTTCCAAGGATAAGCAAACCAGACTTTGGCCAAATTTGTGTCCATGCATGTATGTGCATGCCTTCTCCTGATTGTATTATGTTGGTGAGTAGGGTATGTTAATTTGTTAGGTGTTATTGAAAGATGGAATGCTATTATCACTCTATCTTAGTTGGAATATACTTCACGTGGGGGTCTGCTGGGAGCACCTAATCTCTTGTGGTGATTTGGAAAGCTGCATTAAATTCATTGAAGGAAAAATATGTGAAAATTATTCTAAAAATAAGCATGAAATTTACTATGTTTAATTCGCGGGCCTAAAAGCTCTTCAAGTCAGTAGTGACCACAGATTCCTAGCATTAATGAACAATTCCCATATTGCTGAGATTGACACCATATTTAGCCGTAGAAAGGCCAAAATTACGGTAGGGCAAAAAGCGTGAAATATATTCTTCGTTGATGAAATATCTTCAGTCGGGATTTAGCTGTTCCACACTGTGGTACACAGGAAGGGGCTTATCACTGTTATCTTCTGGCCTAGAGTTAGAAGTTTTTCATACTGTGATTCATATACCTTTTACCAAGGATAAAGGTCATGTTTTTCCTGAAAAAAAAAAAAACAAAAAACAAAGAAGGCTTACATAGTCCCACCTCATGCCTAGCCTTTCTGGCAATTATCTGCTGCTTGGAATCAGAATCAGCCAACTAAGTTCAGATGGGGGGTAAATGTTTGATCTGCAGTAGTGTGATTTGGAAGACTGTGTACGTAGAAGGTATGGCTATGCACATACAGAGAACATATTGATCTCATTTGACTGGCAGTGATTTAATTAATGTTTCTCAAGCACTTTGGACATGAAAAGCACTATCTGAAAGCTGAGAGCTATTACTCATAATCATTTTTCCTAGAATTAACGTACCAATGTGGTACTCCTATAGTATCTTTAAGAGGCAGGCCCTATTTTAATAAACTCTTTGGACCATGTCTTAAAAAACTCTCATTAAAGCTTCAAGACATTAGTCTCTGAGAGTCAAGCTTCAAGCTGGTTGGGTATCAGTAGATTCTGAAGCGATTATGCTAAATCAGCAACGTTGACAGCTTGGTGAAGTATACACAACTGTTTATTCATAGGATGCTAACAAGGGCAAGCTTAAAATAAGAACACACACCACAACCTGATTTTTTTGTGTGCCTGC